TCTCTATAGGGTTTTTTTCCTCCTTCCTTCATTTTCCTCCTTCCCTCTCTAACTCTCTCTCTCTCTAGAATATATCACGTGAATATTTCTAACCATTTTTCACAACCTATAGCTATATATTTATAGGTTAAATAAAATAACCCTAACCCTTTTCCCAATCCAAGTCAACTTAAAAAAAAAAATTTTAAATATTAAAAAAATAAGTAAAATATGTTACGTATATAATTTATGTATATCTTTATTAAATAAATAAATTATACACATCCCATTATTTATTAATGGATTATCCAATAATACTTAAGTTACCATAATATTATAAAGTAACTTAAAACATAACACGTATCAAATCTATGTATATTTTTATTATTTAAATATAAAACATATACATCAGATTAAATATTACTACCCAAGTTACCATAAAAGTAATTAATAAATTACTTTACCTTTTATATATATTAAAAAGGTAAGTAAAATTATGTTACGTATATAATTTATGTATATGTTTATTAAATAAATAAATTATACACATTCCATTATTTATTAATGGATTATCCAATAGTACTTAAGTTATCATAATATTATAAAGTAACTTAAAACATAACACGTATCAAATCTATGTATATTTTTATTATTTAAATATAAAACATATACATCAGATTAAATATTACTACCTAAGTTACCATAAAAGTAATTAATAAATTACTTTCCTTTTTATATATGTATATAATATATCTATATATATACATACACAACTATTCATGGGTAATAATCCATACACATCCAACCTCCTATCCAAGTAGTCCATGGGATCCAATTGGTTGGCCCATTACTACTAACCATACCTATAAAAGAAAAATAAAATAAAATAATAAAGGAAAAGAAAATATTTAATTTATAATTAATCAAAACACCATTTAAACACATAATCTAATTAAACAATTAACACATAGACAAATACTACATAGACACATAATCAAATAATCAAGTAATACTTAATTCAATTAAACACATAAGCAATTAGTCAAATAATCAATTAAATAATTAAAAATACAATTAACACAAATAAATAAATACCGAGACTATCCTTTTAAAATTAGGGGTATTACATAATGTGATGTGTAACACTAACGCTGCATTGCTCATGTTGAATATGTGGCTCAATTTGAGGCTTGCATCACCCATGACATCATCATTGGCCTCCAAGTATATGTGTTCATCAAGCTTTATTCTTGGCCTCCAAGAATGTGTGCCCAGCAAGTCTTTTGAGTGGTTACCAAGTAGCCTCATTTTGGTGTCCCATTTTGGCTATAAATAGCCTTGCCCTCCATGGTGTTGAAGCATCCAAATCAATTGAGTGAGTTTGTAATATCAGTTAGTGGGTGAGAGAGTTTGGGTGTAATTGGATTTTGGGTGTTACCCATTTTGTCTTGTATCTCTTTATTTCTATAGTGAAATATTGTTCTGTCTTCTCCCCGTGGACGTAGGCATAGCCGAACCACGTATAAATCCTTGTCTCGATTGTGTGTGTGCCTATTTATTTTTCTTGTCATTTATTTTTCTCTTGTGCTCAAAACTCCTATTCAATCCTTTTTTTTATAACAAACTGGTATCAGAGCTCGGATTCGTGTATATTGTGTACAAATACTGTTCACATATACTATTCGGGTACTGTTCACAAATACGGTACTATTCACCAAGGAATTTTTTTAAGGGAGTTTTTTGAGATGTCGACCAGATATGAAATTGAGAAATTTGATAGCAAGATTAGTTTCAGTCTTTGGCGCATCAAGATGCAGGCCCTGCTGACTCAACAAAGTCTAAAGAAGGTGCTCTTCGGGAAGGATAAGTTGCCAGAAGCTATGTCCAATGAAGACAAGGATGAGGTTGATGAAAAGGCGCGCAGTGCGATTCTCCTGAATCTTACCGATGAGGTGTTGCGTGAAGTTGTTGATGAAGACACAGCGGCAAAGTTGTGGCCGAAATTGGAGAGTCTTTATATGACGAAGTCTCTCACCAACAGACTCTACCTGAAACAGAGACTCTGCACCTTTCGTATGAAAGAAGGTATGCCTCTTAAGCAGCATATTGATAATTTCAATTATATTATTATGGATTTGAAAAATACTGATACTAAAATTAATGATGAGGATCAAGCTCTTATTTTGTTGTGTTCTTTGCCTCCTTCCTATGAGCATTTTATTACCATATTGCTCTATGAAAAATACACTATTAGTACGGAGGATGTTAAATCCTCATTAAACTCTCAGGAGTTAAGGAAAAAGGTGTTTGAGAATATTGGAGATGAACAGGCCGAGGGTCTATTTGTAAGAGGCAAAGGTGGAACAAAGGGTTCTGCTAGTAGGGGCAAATCTAAATCTCATAAAAATGTGGAATGTTAAAACTGTCATGAGATAGGGCACATCATCAAGCACTGTCCCAAACTAAAGGTAAAGAATAAGAATAGCAAAGAAAAGGTTCAAAGAACAGCTTCTGTGGCAACTGCTACAACGAGTGATTCGGAAAGTGATGAATATGTTCTCATGACAACCTCGTGTTCAGGTATGTCATTTAATGACAGTTGGATTCTTGATTCTAGTTGCTCTGTTCATATGTGTCCCAGTAGGAATTCTTTCTCTTCCTATAAAGAGGTGAAAGGTGGTTCGATTTTGACGGCGGAAAGGAAAGCTTTCAAAATTTTGGGAATTGGAACAATCAAGATCAAGACGCACAATGGGTTGGTGAGAACATTGTCAGATGTGCGACATGTACCGAATCTGAAGATGAATCTTATTTCAATAGGTGTGCTAGACTCCAAAGGTTACAAGGTTGTAACAGAAGGTGGAGTAATGATGGTCGTGATGGATTCTCTTGTGATGCTGCAGGGCACCAAGGTGAAAAATTTATATCTTCTCCAAGGGAATACAGTAACAGGTAGAGCTTCTACAGGGTCTTCTACAGTTAGCAGAAATCTGCGTTCGGGCTTTGGCAAAAAAAGTGTTCGAAAGAGGAGTTACGATCCTAGTTCTCAAAAGGGTTGTGAGGGGACTACACAACGTGGTGGGAGAATGAAATCATTTTTTAGATGGCAACCGAAATTGCAGCAGTCCTTACAGGGAGGCAGACCCATGAGGACAGGTGTGATATTAACTTGCAATAATCTTGGTGGCAATGAGATAATCCATTCGAGTGCCATTAAGATGCGTGTGAGGCAAGTTAGTCACAACAAAGATGCGAGGAAAAGTTAAGGACGTCTTGTTCTCCACAAGGGTGAGAAGATGACTTTTCATTACCAGCCGGCGGTTTGTGGGCGGTTGGGAAGGTTGTTGAAGGAGATGTCAAACTTGGAATTTCTGAGATTGCTTTTGGAAAGCATTTAGAGTTTGACACAAATACTGGAGGTATGCTTGTGGCTGCGCAAGACATGCATGGGTTGAAGAATAAGAGCTCGAGGGTTAAGTTTGAGGATGATTCAAACTTAACTAAAATTCTTAATTAATTTATTTTGTGAAAAAGACAGTTTGTTTTGCAGAGATACAGTGGCTCATTTGAATTTTCACCAAGGTGGAGATTTGTTGAACATGTGACTCAATTTGAGGCTTGCATCACCCATGACATCATCTTTGGCCTCCAAGTGTATGTGTTCATCAAGCTTTATTCTTGGCCTCCAAGAATGTGTGTCCAGCAAGTCTTTTGAGTAGTCACCAAGTAGCCTCATTTTGGTGTCCCATTTTGGCTATAAATAGCCTTGCCCTCCATGGTGTTGAAGTATCCAAATCAATTGAGTGAGTTTGTAATATCAGTTAGTGGGTGAGAGAGTTTTGGTGTAATTGGGTTTTGGGTGTGAGTCATTTTGTCTTGTATAATATTGTTTTGTATTCTCCCCGTGGACGTAGGCATAGCTAAACCACATATAAATCCTTATCTCGATTGTGTGTGTACCTATTTATTTTTGTTTGTCATTTATTTTTCTCTTGGGCTCAAAACTCCTATTCAATCCTTTTTTTCATAACAGCTCAAAAGCAATGAGGTTCCTAAACACTGTTTCCATTGTTTCATCGATGCTTAACGGTGGCAATTTAATCACACCTTCACTGTCACTGAATGTTATCTCCAGTAAATCACTGGTTTCGACCTTCTCAATCCCAATTCCAGCCTCTTAAGAGTTTTGTTGCACCATGTTCTTTTTTTCTCCACTGTGGCATTATATATTTTTCTCGCGAACAGAGAGAGAGACTCAGAGTTGCCAAATCTGAGATGCAATTAATGGAGCGAGGCGAGAAGTTGCTGCGATCGGTGAAAATCGATGAACTGAGATAAAGATGCCAAGAATCAATTGAACCAGTCGAGAGAGATGCTGCGATGGCGCTTGATTTTGATTTCTTGGATTTAATTTTTCTATTCCAATTTTCCCTATCTGTTTATGCATCCATTATCAGATTTCTTGAAATTTTCTCTGGGATTAATTTAGACAGCTTTAGGATGAGAACGCTGTTTATTATCTTCCGCACTTTCGTGTTCTGTCTTCGCTGTATCTTTGTATGTATGAGGGGTGGGAGGAGAAACATGACAGACAGATTATGTAAATTAAAAAAATTAAAAAAAAATTAAGAACCAAACTGGCGTGATTAGCGCCTAAGTATTTTAGTAGAGTGCCAATATCAGAATAATATATACGGTTAAAATTGGGAAAGAAAATATAAGATTCATTTAATCAAGGTACAGTTAACCATAATTGAAAAAACAATTTGGTTGTTGTATATACTATTAATATTGGTTTGTATAGCAGAGTTTGCTAAATGTCTCAGTTTTCTTGTTTAAATAATTTTTTAGGATCTTAAGAGAGTACAGGTTATCCTTGGATGATGACAGCATAGCCCCCTTCTCAGCAAAGCTATTATTCTTATTGGTCTGAAGTTTAATAATAATAATATCAGCTTTTATTTTTCAAATTTGAGAATCATTTAATATCATTAATTCTCACTCAGAATTAACTTTGCATAGCCAATTCTAGCATAAATGCTTAAGGGGTTAATAAATCTCCTCTTCATTTCGTTTACATCCTCGTTTTAAAATCAAACAGGAGATAATTGACAGCACTAGTAATCATATTACTACTATTTTCATTATTTATATAACTTTTAAGTCCCACTGAAAAATATCATTCTGCTAAATACAGAAGAACTTAATACTACTATAGCCTATTTACGTCACATGAGACCAATTAGGCTTTGCTTCCTATTTTCTTCTCTAATGGCTCTAGCTCCAGCACTAAACCTCTCTTGAATTCCAAAAATGGGCAAGAAATGGGGAAATCATCACCTTTTATTTTCCACCTGTAACAAAAATATATATATATTAGACTTAAGACTAGGGACTGCAATATGAAAGGTTTACAGCTGATTTGAAATTTTCATTGAAACCTAACTCCAAAAAATAAATTTGAGTTTAAGAGAATGATAAAAGATTATCATTTTTTAGTTTTTCCCAGCAGCAAATTAAGGACTAATGAAGATTAATAGTATTAATTATTAATACTTGGTTTCTTACCATGCTTTTCTCACTCTTAATTGTCATCATGAGTGGGGCCATTACATGTTAATTAATTATATCACCACCAACTCAAAAAATGGTTTATATAGATAGAGGGAACATGATGCGATTGAAAATTCGAAATGATTTATGCCTTTATGAAAATATAAAAATACAAAACACTAAATAGAAAACCTTTGATCTTCTTTGGATATTTGAAAATCCACCTGATCTCATTGCATGCTAATTTTCTTGTTCTCTTTTTTCTTTATTGTTTTATATTTTCTAGATATTTCATCAATACATGGAAAGAAAAGAGAGTGTGTGTTCACCACTTTACACTCCTTATTTCCTAGTCAGTGTTTTAATGTCATCTATTACATGAGTTTCGGTCTCACCACTGTGAGTGGTCCAATTTTATTAAAGGTATTATATATATATATATATATACACAAAAGTGTGTTCTTCACTTTCTGCATTCTTTTAATATTGAAAATCTTCTTTCTATATTAAATTCCTAAGTCTTCAAATCAATTATTGACTTGATTTTAATAATAGAGGGTGTAATCGTCAAATAAATTTGATTTTGTGAATATAGGGTTGATATTTTATGACATCAGGATTATTAATGATGTCAACTACCACTCACATAAATAAATTAAAGTTGTGGGATTAGACTCCAAATTATTATCCCAGACCTTATCATAACTTATTTCTCCATAGTTATTAGCCTAAGCAAATCCGCAATGTATTCATCCTATTTAGTAATGAGGGGTAGTTAGGTAATTAATCTTCACCTATAATTCAAGACAAGATGGTGAAGGAAGCATGCGGTCTCCACTTTTGCAAGTTCAGCCCCTGGACAGAGCCGCAATCCGCCACCAAAAGGGTTCACTTTTTTGCTCATCGCTTGATCCTGTTAAGACAGTCAAAGCCACTAATTTAATTAGAGCAAAAAATTAAACAAAATTCATGGGAATCTATTTAATTATATAGTATATGTTTGTAACTGTACAGATACACAAGTCTATTAATTAAGGCTTTTATATATATATATTGATCCTGTTAAGACAGTCAAAGCCACTAATTTAATTAGAGCAAAAAATTAAACAAAATTCATGGGAATCTATTTAATTATATTATATATGTTTGTAACTGTATAGATACACAAGTCTATTAATTAAACCTTTTATATATATATATATATATATGGTCTCAGGTTTGACTAGCCTCTACTTGCATCGCGTGCAAGAAGAACTATAATTGATGCAAACACAATATATATTTGTTTTTTTATTTTTTGGGTCCAGTTGAGTATATGTTTATGAAAGCATGCAGTTCATACAAGGCTATGTGTGTGTGTGTGTGTGTGTGTGAACTTGAGTAAAGTTACATACAGTCCATCTCCAAGGATTAAAGTCTGAGGGATCTTCATGAAGGGATGGATCAAGATTTGCTGCAGTAAGAACTGGAAGAACCTTCCATCCCGAGGGAATAAGATAGCCTGCAACAATGATAATCAAATTATTAGCTTTGTAAGACGATTTTGTGGAACGATATAAAGACAAAATTAACATTGGAATTGAACATGCCTTTGAATGTGACATCTTGAAGAGCTTTCCTGTGCACAAATTTGACTACATTCCCACATCTTAGAGATTCAGATATAACCTAATTCATTACAAGCTTTTGTTAGTTATGTGTATGTGTGTGTGTGTATATATATATATATATATAAAATTAACCATGCAAAATTACAAAAATGATAATTACATTGGAGGTAAATTCCATTTGCTTGTAATCTTCCCAATTCAAGGGCTCTCCATCCTTTTTGTTTTTCCTTATCTCTTGGTGTTCAGCCTGTAAAATTGTTGGCAAAAGTACTCATTTGAGCGTGCGTGTGTGTGTGTGTGTATATATATATACACACATGTATGTGTGTGTGTAGAAAGTGGGGAAACATATATACCTTTAAGTGTTCAAGGACATGCGGTGCCTGTCCAAGAAAGTATACGACTATACCCAAAAGTGCTGAGGTTGTTTCATAGCCTGCTAGCAAAAGGTCGAGTAGAACACTCACTTTTTCTTCATTGCTCAAGTTCTCTTTCACCAAAATTCCATCTAGGAAGTCCTTTTTGGCAAGCCCCCCATTCCCATTTTGTCTCTCTTTTATAACCTCTTTTAATGTGGATGAGATCCTTGTTCTAGCCTGAGGAGAAGCAGAGTGTTATTGCCATTAATTATTATCTTTCTTCGATAATAAGGGTGTCCGGAACTTTGTCCGGACTAATGCTGAGATGCCATTAAGTAATTCCTTCCTAAGATGTAGTATAATTTTGAATAGAAAGAGATTTTACAATTAATCTCGAGAAAAAGCAAACAAATAGCTCTGACAATAACAAAGCCTAGAGCTTAATAATGAAGTTAATTAACTTTCATATGACTTTTTGGGTTGGCGGGTTTTAATTACCTTAACAGCCTTGGCATATGAGGACCCCGGGACATTCAATGGAAGAGAAATGAATCCCTTCATGAAGGTAAGGAAGTCTTCCAATATACTCGAAGCTATTAAATCTTCTGGTTCAATGCTGAGCAGATATTTCAACATGACATACAAAGTAAACTGCATTTAATCACATAAAAAAAGTTAGAATTAAAATCTAAATCAATAGGCAATTGAGATCTCACCCTCATTCACAATATGAATATGAATTAACGTGTGTGTGTGTGTGTGTATATATATATATATTTATATGATCCATACCTCTTTAGCTTCTCTGAAGAAAGCAACTTCTTGACGGTCTTCCCATGATTTCATGACCGAGATAGTCAATTTCTCTACGCTATGAAGGAATTCAGGCATGGACCTAGAGGTAGCAATGAAGCTGACTGCAACACTTCTTAGCTTCCTGTGTAGGTCACCGGACACGAGCATCATTGACAGCTTTCCCAGTATGCCATGAACAGGTTTGGGATAGCTGCTCTGGAATAGCTTCTCTTCATTCTGAAGAACGAACGTATTGAGGTCGTGATCACATGAAACAATTGTTGGGCAACCAAAAAGATGCGATTTGAACACTTTCCCATACCTGATAAAAAAAAAAACAAAACAAAACAAACAATTGAACAGGTACATCAGTGGATTATGACCAAACTAGATTAAAAAAAAAATGTATATGATTAAATATAGAAACAAGTAGTGAAAAAAAGAAAAAAGAAGAGAAGTAAGGTTTGGTGAATCACCAAGAGCAATGTGTTTGTAAAAATGTTCCCATAGTGTTGGACCTGTGTGGCTTGAGATAGCCAATGGTCTCTCCCAAAAAGGGCCATCCCATGTTTCCACGAGGCAAGCTTGTTGGGTCTTGTTTGGCAAAGAAAGTGTGTAGGATAAGAAAAACCAAAGCTGGTACTCCTAACAACACAGCTATTGCTACTGAGGCAAGTCCCACTCCCATCATAGTGCTTGCTTCTTCAAAACACACACACACAAACCAACAGCTTTCTGCCCTCCTGCCCTTTGCAATTGTTTTCTATGTACACGTTTGTGCCTTTCATATATATATATATATGCTCGAAATTTTTATATGGTTGGTTAATTAATAACGACATCGTAATCATTCACTATATGATATTTTTTTTAAAAAAATCAAATACTAATTTTCTAAAAGAAGTAAAAGTGACTTTTTTTGGGAAATTAATGAATTAAAGGCGTCATCCCAGGCACAATATTCCTTGTCGCATTAATGCAAATCCAATCCCACCCGCTAAACGCTGGGGCGGATCCACAAACATTAATTTGCGCGGGGATTATATATTTATACTTGAATTAAGGTATATATAATTAGTATGTAGTTATTTACTAATTAATATATATATATATATATATTTGATTTAGGTTTTAAATAAATATTATATATACATGTATACATAAATATTGAAAATTAATTTATATAAATTATACATAGATAGATATTAATGATTTAATTAGTATATATTTGACTCTTTTTTTTCAAATAGGTGGTTCCAAAATTTAGGTCAAAAATTGTCCAAATTAATTGAGATTTCTTTATGTTTGGGGTCCAAAATTAAATACTATTTGGAACTAATTATAGATATCGCGCCTATTTTTTAGGATTTTTTTCAAATTTTTTGGGGGCCATGATCCCGTTAGTCCTCGTGGAGATTAGCACCTCTTTTGTAGAAATATTTTCAAATATTTTGGGGGCGATGATCCTAGTCCTTACCTAGGTCCATAATAATGCTATACAAGCCAAATACTTTTAGACGAATAAACAACGCAATTAGTATAACTATAAAAAAAAAATTCATGTCGAGTTCATATGATGTCATCGTTTTAATATTCATTGCTTATTTTTTTTATTATCATTGATTAGTAAGTCACGTTTTCCATACTGAAAAGAATTTTCCATAACCAAATGGAGATTTAAGTTTCAATACTTTGAGAGTAAAGTATCAATATTTTGAGTTGTATGATAGACGAGTCTGGTTCATGATTCATGTGTGTTAAAGATGCCAACCTTTTCTTATTTTTGAAAGGTGTTAGAGATGCAACTTGTACTTAATATATTCTCAACTTTCAAGTCAAATTCTTCCTCAAGCAACACTAGAACAAATTCATAGAAAATTACAATATATATATATTTGGTAGATGAAAATAAATAAATAAAAAACCTTGGAAGCTGAAATTTTGATAGGTGTGTTTTAATTATTTTATTATCTCTATCATTTTGATCGAAGAGACATATATTTCGTCTCATTTTTGAATGTTTCAAATTAATTGTTTCATTTGGGGTAAAATGTATGTTTGAACTTAAAAGGATAAGTTAGTAATTGTAAAAGAAGACAATGTATTAATTGTGATGAACAAATAATGTTCGATTGAAGGAAGTAATATATCAAAGTTTTGACTGCACATTTAAAGAAAACAGCACGTAATTCAATTCCCATGTAGGTTTTGATATCTTACCTGCCCTCTTACTCATATTAAAAAAGACAATGCATTAATTGTAATGAAAAAATAATGCAGTGTATTATATTAAAGTTTTAACCACACGTTTAAAAAAAAAAAAGTAATTAGATCAATTCCCGTTTAGGTTTTAATGTCTTACCTACACTCATATTAAAATTTCATAATTTTTGAATTTGCAACATTTAAAACATACTCAACGGTTAACATACCTAACTTACAAACATATAATATCGTGAAGTCCAAATTAACTGAAAAAAATTAAAAACATATTAAAAGTGTTGACGTGACATTTAAAAATAAAGTACAATTTTTAATTCAAATAATTTCTAATCCGTTTTGATATCTTACCTACTCTCCCGACTCCGTAGAAGCTCAGTGCATTGGGCCAGAATGTCTCAAAAAAAAATTACAAGCTTACGTGCGGTAATCACACTCACTAAGTAAGTATTAGTGAGATGCTTAAAACTCACTTAAAGAATGACGGTTGGTCCCCTAATGGAGAGGCACAAAGGGAACAAACTATGTTAAAATTCTAAAGCAAGAGAGAACAAAAGTTTCAAAGCTTTGATTAGATTCATTGCTTTATGTGGGTTTGATGTAGATGTTTGCAATCAAAATCCGACCAAGCTTTTTAATAATTATGTCAATGTATTACTCTCTTACCACCATCAAGTTCGTTTTTAGTCTCGAGTCCTTAAAATAAAAAAATAAAAATAAAAAAGACATAGTATATACCACTCTTTTTAAAAGAAAGAAAATTTTCTCATCTCAATAGAAGTTTGAAATGTATATTAAAAAAAATAAAAAATAGGTCTTACTTTTTCACTGGAGAGAGGCAAAAATGAAAATGGATTTTAATTACATTGTACTATTGTGGGGTGTAGCATGGTGCACGTGTAATGGAAGTGGGACCCACAATTTGTCAATCGGATGGTTGGCATCTAGAAGATCCAATGAGCTGGACTTCAACACAAATATTGCAATCATGCCCACATGTCCCATTTCAATTTTACTTTTACTTTTACTTTTTGTCTCAACACTTCTGTTTTACTTTGTGCATGTATGTATGTGCATGCAAAAGGAATTATTACCAATAATAGCAAGTTTTTTTTTTTTTTTTTTCAAAATTATACTCCTATATAAATAGTCAAATTTAATGTAGTATATTCTACGCATCTCAGAGAATGTTGAGTTTTTTTTTTGTTTTTCCAATCATTTGTTTTTATAAAAATTTGAATATTTGCTGCTCATTTTAAAAAATAGAAAAGGTACTGTTCTATTATATTATATAAGACCCTTAATTAGTAAAATTAATTTTATAAAACAAGTTATTGTGCAATTTTTTCTCATTATTAACCGTTATCATAAATAGATTTTACATATTAGTCAAATGCTTCCATATTGAGCATTTTGATTGGTTTCATCGGTGGACTTGGTCCGGTAAATAATACACTCTGCAACTCGAGTTCGTTTTCTTTAATGCTAGAAAACTCTTGCAATGAGGATTAAAGAGAGAGATTATTCTCAGGTTTGTGTTGTAGTTCAATATTGTACAATTTATTGCAACCCACAACACCTCTGTTTGGTAAAAAATAAGAAAATTGAATGAAAGGGAAAGAAGAAAAGATAAACAAGATATTCCAAAAAAAGAATTGTGTTATTCTCTCTTTTTGTTTGGTTGAATTGAAGATAAGAGAATGAAATAATACTTCATTTTGTTTGTTAGAAGAGAAAAAACGAAAAAATATTACTTATAGAAAAAGTTTTGTAATTTAAAAACTTTTATAAAAGCTTTGCCTTTTTCTTTCTTTTTTTCTTTTTTTTTTTTTCCTTCCTTATGGTCTTTCGTCTATATTTAGAGGAATAAAAATTTATGAAGAATGAAGGATAACTGATCCATCTTTTTTTCTCTTCTCTTCTTACCCCCTCTTTACAAAATCAAAGAAATTTATTTCTTCCTTTCGATTTTTCCTCAATCTCAATTCCTTCATTCATTTCTACCAAACGATAAATCCAAATGACATTTTATGCAATTATGTCTTATTTTAAAATATACATCTTGAATTCCTACACCAACACATGTATATGTAACACTTTGTGAAAGTTAATAGGGGTTGGGTCAATCCAAACCTTTCCCTCTCTAACCTTTCTTTCCCTTTGTTTTCGTTTTTCTCCCAGCTTCCTTCCATGGGAGTGGAGAGGTAACGTTTTGCCTCCTACGACTTCAATAAACTCGGTGTGTTTCAATAAGTTCATTCTATGGGTGTTTTTCAATCTGTTTTTGTTTTTGTTTGGTTAGATCTGTTCATGTTTGGCTTGTTTCCGGCTAGTATGAGTGGATTTGCTATTTTCTCTCTGGCCAGATCTATGTTTTGATTGTTCCCGACTTAATTTGATTTTTTCCATTTGATTTGATCTTGTGCGGGCTTGGGTGCGTGATTTTTTCCCTGTTGCCTCACCTTGTGGATATAACTTTGGAACTGTTGCCTTAATGATGGGCATGCCTTTGGATCACTTTTGTTGCTGCTGCTTTTTTCCCTTTGTGGTTATCGTTACAGAGTTTTGGCTCTTGTTCTCAACAAATTTAGAATATGTTTTTCATTATTTTTTTTTTTTTTTTATTTATTTTGCTTCAAGATTTGCATATTTTTATCTGACTTGACTTTTACCTTTGTACTTTCATGATGACTTGATCTTTGTGCCTTTGCAATGATAAAAATAAATAAAAATTGAGGTTGTGTCTATTTAAGGACATATAAACATACCTTTTCAAATCAATTAACCACCTGTACGTTCTACAATTAATTTGAAAATATATTTAATATTTTTCGAACAGACTTTGAGTTATATGATTGAACCAAATGGGGCTGGAATTAGCAGCAATTTTGGATTTTGGAGTTCTGGTAGTTGAAAAAGTTAGATACTATATACTAGTTCTGTTTCTCTGTCTCTCTCTCTAGTGTGTGTGTGTGTGTGTGTGTGTGTGATTGTGGTGTGTGGGAGGCCCCCTCCTTCGAAAACGCCCGTGGGGGTTAAGGTGGGGGTTAGCATCATAAAAAACATTCTTTTGAAGTCATCATACAAGAAAATGTTTTAAAAAGGGCCAATTGCACATTCGTGCAAACAAAATCATCATCTTTCTTGTCTAATAGCTTTTTGTCAAGTTTGAGTTTGCATTATTTCTCTGTTGTTGAACCAGCTGGATGCACATATCTATATATATATATATATGTTTTCTTTTAATTCAAGGAAAAGCCCCTAAATGCGGATATATACACATACATTCATTTCACACATTCCTCCTTAAATTACACATATCAAAACAATTTGCAGCACATACCCAATTTCAAATGTCAAGCAACAGATGCGGGTATTTGACAGGAAGTGTGAAGTCTGGTAAAATACTCTGTGGAGACATTTTGGTATATTTCGCACTTGTTAAGTTAATATAATATAAGGATATTTATTTGTTGTAAACTCTTTTGTATGATATTATTTTCTCATAAATAATAAAATCCCTTACAACTTGTGAATGTAACTCTAATTTTT